ACAAAAGGTAAAAAGGACTTCCAAAATGTCAGAGAAGCACAAGCTAAATGATAGGATTACAGAAAGGAACAGGCATTCAAAAACAGGAAGCTGCCCCTCATGTGTAGCAATCTTTAAACTTTGGAATACCCCTAATTAGCACAGTCTAAAAACATTAATGCAAAATCTAACTGACCATATTCTCTACTACTGAGGTTTTCAAACCTCCTTTAAACAAAGCTGATAAAGGGCAGAGATTTTACTTTCAAATTTGAAATGTTTAATTTATTAGCCTTTTTATTTGAAAATTAAGTCTTAAACTGTCAGAGAGTGAGGAAAGTAGAAATGAAAGAAAGAACAAAAGAAATTGGAGAAGACTAAGCTGAAGCAGAAGGTAAGCAAGAGCATGAACAGAAAAGAAACAAGTCATATAAAAGTATGTTTTTAAGACAAAAAAAAGTGAAGAGTGGAACTATAAATACAGTGAGAGGGATGAATAAAGTAACTTCTTGGTTGCATCTTTGGGCAGTCTATTTTTATAAACCTATTATAATAGGCAAAAATTATGGAAAAAAGTAGCCTGATTCTACAACAATAATTTTTCCAGTACTGGAGATTTTATGCAGGGCCTTGCATTTGCTGGGCAAGTCCTCTACCACTGAGTTATATCCCAAGAACTTTATTTTGATACAGGGTCTTGCTATGTTACCCTGGTTGGTCTCAAATTTATTATATTTCTAATTCAAACCCTGAATAGCAAGAATCACTGGAGTGAACCATTAAGCCAACTCTATTGTAGTAATTTTGGTATTATTATGATGTCTGCAAACTATTTTTAAAATGCTAACTATGCAGTTGGCTATTAGTGCATAGCAATCATATAATTGTACTTTTAATTTTTTCAGAAGTCGTTTATAAAACGCTCACTTGCTTTCAGAATTGCAGAAATTGTTAGGTAATAGGGAGAAAAGCTAAGTCAGATATCGCCCTCTAGAAGTTTAAATCCTCTTTTAAGAGGTATCAGGCAAATACACAGGCAGGTAATTACAAGTGGAAATTTCTAGGAAAGGAACAGGCACAGGATCATACATATACTAGAAAGCAGGAGAAGGAAAGAAGTATCTCAAAGAGAAAACATGATATATTCTCAGAACTGCAAAGACTTCAATATCAGCACATGCAGTGTGGAATGAAAGAACAAGGCTGATGGCATGAGGAGGAGCCATGTTAGACAGGACATTATGATTTTATCCTATGGACAATGGGAGCCATTAAATGGGCTTGGTAACAATTGCTTTGTATATATTATACATCTAATATATGCTAAGCACTCTTTCAGATATGTTTTATTGTATTTTTCCTCACAACAACCCTGTGAGGTAGGTATAATGATTCCCAATTAACAGTTTAAAAAAAAAAAACCTGGAAAGTTGTTAAGCAATTTACACTTGATTAATAGCTACAAATGGCAGTCAAACTATACTACAGAAAATACATTAGAAAGATGATGTGTACATATATATAAACACACACACATTTACCCACAGGACATACAGCAATTTCAGTGCTTAAATGAATTTTTAAAAGATAATAAGGTTTGTGATATCAATAGCTCTTTAAAAAACATTTAGCAAACTTACACATTTAAAATTATCAACTAATTATATACCAAAACAAACAGAAAAAAGTCACAGAAATGGATATTATTGGATAATCAAATAAGAATCTCAAAAAGAGTGGTAACTTTTTATTTTATTTGATATGCCTAAGAGTCTTTGAGTCAAAAAAATTCACATTTATTTTAAAAAAATTAAGTCAAATTTACAGAGATTTATTCTATTAATATAAGTTGTATTTTTCATGATAAAAATAATGTATGGAATATTAAAGCTTTATTTAGAGAAAGGTCTACAGGATGTTCAGGGTCTCACTACTAGACTGGACTCATAGTGATCCACCTGTTTACAGCCTCCCAAGTGCTGGGATTACAGGAGTACGCCAACACGCATAGTCTCAATTGCTGTCTCAGTGCACCACAGGGGCGGGGCCAGCATGGCAGGCCCAGGGATTGAACCCCCAGCCCCTGTGCCTGCTGGCAGGTGCTTTAATCTGCTGAGCTGTCTGGCCAGCACTCAGTGAAGGAATTTAAATACTAGTCATTTTAGTATCAAAGTAATTGTCCACGTAACATTATACTATAACGTAATCTCCCTATAATAAACTAAGATACCTGTGTTTCATGTCATACTGCCATCACAATTTTTCAAGAATCTGATATACACTTTAAATAATTTATTTGGAATAGTTCCCTATTTTAAAAACTAAAACATTTTGTAAAAGTGAGGAAAGCATCTGACAAACCAATTAAAACTATCTTACTTAAAAATGATAAAATCTATACTATCAAGTTTAACAACTTACTCTTTTTTTTTTTTTTTTTTTTGAATGAGTGCCTCAACCTTTACCGGCATACATAAGTTACACTTTGTTTTCTTGCCCATTTCACTATTTACTATTTTATTTGGCCCTAATGCAGTACATCGTTCTAAAGATTCTTACTGAAACCTGGATGTTACCAGAACATTACTGATAGAACTCTAAGCACACACCAATAGGTATTTAAAAATTCATTATTATTTATGCATTTCAATTATTTTTTGTTTTGCAACTTTACAACTAAAATAGGGTAAGTAAAAACAAAATTATGTATTTAGTAGAGTCTACAGGATCTCACTACACAGATTAGACTTGTAGTTATCTTCCTATCTTCAGCCTCCCAAGCGCTGGGATTTCAGGCATGTGCTATCACGCCCAGTCTCAACAGCTGTCTCAGACTGCCCTGGGGGTGGGGCAGGCATGGCATACCAGGGATTGAACCCCCAACTCTTGGGTCTGCTTAAGTAGGCCCTTTAATCCACTGAGCTATCTGGCCGGCCCTAGTAAAAGGTTTATTGAGATTCAGTTATTCTTAATCTAGTATTTACTTCTGAATTCCGTAATGATTAAATGACTATTAATGAAATCCTACCCTTCAGAAAAAAAGAGAAGTCCTGCTTTGGAAAACAATTGAGTACAGCCATTAGATCTCTATTCTAAGGAATGAAGATAGTCTCTTAAACAAATTAAACAAATATTTGGATGTGTAATTTATCAGAAAGACCAAGTTTGGTATTACATAAGAAATACGTTTTCATTTACTTTACATAAAACCGAAGTATATTCAAATGTTTCCACTTACTTTTTTCCAAATCCAATACACTAGAAGTTTATAATAATAGGTTTATATGGTTAAAAACAATGCAATAATTTTCAAATTTACATTATATACAGAAGGTATAAAATATAAAGATCCAGTAAAATATAAAAATATATACCCAGGCACATACAACAGGTAGTGTGTCTTTTCATTAAAATTTAAAATAGTATATAAAACTTACAGTCTATTCCCCAAATGATTATTATTTCTGGTAAAAAAAAATGGGGTTAAGGAATACTTACAAGTAATATTATGTATGGAAGATGCAAAAGAATCAATACCAATTCAAATATTTTATATAGTATAAAAATATTCACTTGCTAGAGATGCATAAGAACATTATGTCTACTCTACATTTTTTTTTTTTTTTGATACAGGATCTCATTATGCAGCTTGGACTCATTGTGATCCTCCTGTCTCAGCCTCCCCATGGTTTATACCACTGATCTATCTGCCTAGCCCTACTCTAAATTTTAAAAATAATGTTTACATCTTTGATTCTTTGGCTTTTAATTGAAGTATTATGTAAGGAGGAACCTCATTTAAAAGGTGAATATTTTTTCATAATATTTAAGTAAATTTCCACTGTGAATGTAAATAAAGTTTTGTAACTGAAAACTGTGGATGCTTCCTTGAAAAATACTATAAATTACACTGTGTTAATGTGTAAAAATTCCATTTCAAACAGTATTGTGTCTTCATCACAAGGATAGCTGAAATTCTTTGTTGGAAATTCGACCTCCATTTTGGACTCAAAAACACTGTCACTCGACATTTATTTAACACAAATAACATCTAACTAGAACTCAGTCAACCACATGAACATACCATGATTTGTAAAGAAAAGTAAAATTCTATGTATATGGAATCCTACCTGAGCTAAAAAGAAAACATTTAAAGAGAATGTATAAAGCAAGTTCTTCTACCCTCTGGACTGTACAAGTAGTCAATGTTCTGGAGTGACCTTTATCAGCTTTCACTTTGAATCCACAGACACGGAGGTGTGCACAAATATTTAATTCACAATATATGTGTTAAAATTACCTAAAGCAAATGACATATTTCCAGGGACTGAGACCTTGGGAAGACAAAGAGACCCTAATTATTTTAAACTGAAATTTCTGTAGACTGATCTTCCCCCAAAAAAATACATATTAACTAAAAAAAAATCTAAAAACTGACCATCTTCTAAAAGACATGATGAAAACAGTCTTGTAAAACTGCTTTTATTAAAAAATACATAAAGTTGGAGAGACTATATTAAAAGAAAGTTCAAATATTTACTATTTTTTCCTGTTATGCTTTATGTAAAAATGCTATTAAAAATTGAAAATCAGTCTTTAATAACCAAACAATATAAACTAGATATATCCTAAACTGCTCTGTTACAAAACTTTCATTAAGAATTAAAACTAATGTATTAAACATTGCAAAGAAAGCTAAGATGTTCCTGTTGGATTAGAGATTGGTTTGTTATTTTAAGAAAATATTTTAAAACCATTTTATTATTTTACTTTTCATTAACAGTGAAGAATTTAAAAAGTATTTTAGATTTCCTCTTCTTTTGGAATAAAAAAAAAAGAAATCCAAGGAGTGGTGCTTTTATCTGTTATTCAGTTTGGTACCCCTCACAATTTAGAAGCCCTTTAAATGAAATTTAGAAACAGTAGCACTAAGTTCAAGTACACTTGTAAGTGATGCCTCCCAGTTATTTATTTTCTCCTAGTGAGTTTTCCAGTCTAGGGCAGGTACACAAGAAACTTACAGTCTATGTAGTACTCCTAGTCAGTGTCACTCTGCAGATGCCACAGTGGAGAAATACCTTCTGTACAGGACCATGTACAATTTCTTCTGCAGCTGTCAGCACCTAGGGGAAAGTGCGCTGTTAAACAGTTGCTGCGTTCCACCTCAGAAGTGGCTGCAATTCGGTGGTGGGTGAAGTGATTCCTGTACATATATACAGGGATGAAAAGTACTATAGAAAATGAAAATATTTAAGAACAAAAGTGGCTGAAAACTGTGCCACAGTAACACAAAATACATTAGTTACAAAATACCTACACATATGGGTTATCACTCATTTAAAAGCTGAATGTTAAGAATGACTGCAAGAAAGGTAAAAATACAGTTGTTCAATTAACGACATAATTATTAACCAAATGTCGAACAGATATTTTAAAAATAAAACCCAAACAGTTCATAGTGATTTATAACATTATCTAAATCAGGCAAATACACACGGTAAGATTCTTTACTCTGTACTTCTATTATAATGCTTTTATTCCAGATGCCAAAACCAGGCAGAGGGGTTCCCCACAACAGGTGAAATTTCAAAACTGAAGAATGAGCAACATAAAGTATCAAAAAATAAATATAATAAAAACCACTGTAAGATTCTGAATCATTTTATACTTTGAAAAAACAATTTTCCAAAATCAATAGTCCTCACAACTAGTGAGAGGTGAATTATTTACCATATATTGGAGCTTCAAAAAATGATCCCTAGGAAAGGACAATTCTTCTTCAACAAAGTCAAATTAAATTAAAACCTAGATACAGACTTTACTAGTAATCCATAGGTACAAGGCATTAAAATCAAATACTTTTGTACATTGATACAATTATAACCACACTGTGCTTTTACTACAACAGTACAGCAGCACCTGCTTGCTCATTTTACATGATTCTTGAAGGAATCTGATCCAATTAGTAAGTCACTCTCGAGTACTATCACATACTAGGGTGGAAGGCACTCCCTAATGTTCTACCGCTAGGCCCAGCTACTAGGCTTCCATTACTCTGAAGGGGGAACGGCAGAACTTACTACAAAATGTTCATATTTAAGCTACCTTCTCAAACACTGAAGTTACTTTGTGACAAAGTCTAACAAATTTGACATTAAAATGTGCACCTTAATTCTATCTTTCTGAATCGCCTTTGCTCCTTTAGAATATAATTTATTTACTTTGGCATATACTCAGGACAATTAGAAACACCTGACATTTTCATCTTTTTCTTAAATTCTTGCTAAAATAAAGCATAATATAAATAAATTTTTCCTTTTAAGTGACAAGAAGTGGTAGAGGAAGAATGAATAGTTTTCCATACTCATTATAAAAAAGACGTGGACAAGGGATGTTGACTTTAGAATCTACATGCAGGATTTATAGAATTCCAAAATTCTTCAAAACTGCCTAATAAAATGAAGATGTAATACATAGGTCCATACATACATTTCTGTAGAGGAAGTAAGTCATATGCTTTTGTAAGGTTCTGACCTATAAAATTTAAGAAGCGATGATGATCAAGAAACTCAACTGAATAAACAAAAATATTTTAAAGTTAAATGTGTTAAATCTAAGTAGCTATTTTTTTTCATGTGAAATGAAAAAAAGACACTGCAAAGTTCCAATAGCTAAATGAAAAGATTCACAGATGACACAGTTTAAATTCTGCTCTACTGACCAAAGATCACAGTGACTGTTCAAAAGAGTTACCTGCAATGAACAACTCAATTTCTTTTAAAAGTCCATGTTTGTTTACTATTATTTATTATTTTTATTTCGTCATGTTTTCTAAAAGGTAATAAATAGTATCACAAGCCATATTCTTCTGCATTATTTTAGATAGAAAACTGCTATCTACAAGTTTTTAGAATTCTGCTATGTACTTCACAAGTCCTTGTTTCCCTAATAGCCTCCTGGCCCCCTTTCTTACTCTTTACTACTTACAGCAGTCAGACGTGGAAAACATTTGGCTATAATTACTCATATAAAGTAATTTTTTTCCTTTCACTCTGACAATAATATACAAAGAAAATTAAATCTAAAAAAATGTAGTAAAAGATCACATATTTTGTAAAAATAATACAATTAGTATGGTTCTTTTTATAAATTACATTTACTAACTCTTTTGATTTCTGAAGGCAAAATATAGCAATAAAATGTATACATATACATTCTTCCAAAAAGATCTTGAGTTACAATAGAATAACCTCACTTTTAAGATAAATTGGCAATAGTCCCGACAGTATTACAAAGTATATACAAAGCACATATTATGCACTTAAAGGTTGTGATAAGGTTTATGAATACTCATCAAAAAATAACAAATGAGCTCCTTCCATGTATTAAGGATACTCAGTGAGGAAAGGGTTTTGCTAATACATGTGATGTAACAGCATACGACATACGTAAATAGTTGCTTCCCAACCATTTCAAATGTAAAGATGCTATTCTAGAATCCTTTCCAGTAGGAGTTACATTTATGTACGCATGCACTAACAATGAGTATACAGCAGCAGAAAAAAGGAAACAGGCTATAAGTAAAGGCCTAGGAGGAAGAGGGCAACACGGCTCAGCAGTGAGAGCAAGGAAAGGGTGTGTGCGAGAAAGAGCACACACCTGGGACAAGCACAACAGGCACAGGCCCATGCACGCTAAGGGATTTGGGGTGTTTTCTCCAAACAGTACTATCCAGAGAAGCATTTTATAAAAATCACTCTAAAAGGAGCATGAATTTGAACTAAAGATAGAATCTAACTGAGGTGATTATAAAAACTTATAACTGAGAATAATGAAAATGTCTTAAAAAGGTTAACATGTAAAACCTTGGATAAGCATGAATTATGGAAAAGTCGTAGCTATTTTCTAAAGTTTGATTTTCAAAACTAGCATTAATTCTTTCTTTCAGCAGAAAAACTGACTGTCTAGGTCAAGTACCATTTTGGGTATAGGAAAAATACTACTCAATTAAGTTAATGACCTAACATCCTGGAAGTAATTTTCTAACAAATAGCTATCAAAATATGTATTATATGAACATGAAGCAAGATATGGGAACAGAATGACAAATAATTTAACAGGGTCCCTAAGAAAACCAATGAAAAAGCACTACTTGAATAACGAATGTAATGAAACGTGATGATGTAATGCAATGTGATGATCATGACGAGTACGTCACCACAGATGCATTAAGACTGGCGCAAAGCCCTGAGGCAGGTCACGTTTAAAAACCGTGGTCAAGGGGCCAGAGACACAGCTCAGTGGCATTAAGTTAAGAAAGCAAAAGCTAAGAAAGCAAGCAGATGATGGACGGCTGACTCCCCTAGGATGAGGGCGGCAGGATGATATGCATGGGACAAAGAGGAAGTAAGTGAGGGGATCCATCATCCATCCATCAGCTGTTCGCTTTCTGAACTCATTGCCAAGCACCTGCCTGGCAATGGCAAGATCCTGAATTTCATCTGTGGTACCCAAAACAAACAAACAAACAGAAGAGAACCACAAACCGAGATCAGTAAGTAGGGCTCTCTGGTAAAATGACTTTTTTTCCACCATATGCAGAAAGCGCCAATATTTTCTTTTTCTTTAAGTAATTTTGTTGAGAAACAAATAGCAATGAGACAGCTTCAAAACCGATTAGCAGGTCAGTTTCAATAATTAATACATTGCATATTGTTGTCTTCGTAGTGGTTATTCATAGTACAAGATGCAGACATGATATCCTGTCCACAAATACTATTAGAAAAACTCTTTCTATTCATTGAATTAAGAGAATATAACTGTACATCTATCCTATTTTGAATATACAGACACAAAATGGTCCTTCATTTGTATAACCTTTTGTTTAATTTGGGACTAGTACAAGCTACTTAACCTTTTGAAAGTATCACACAAGTTGTCATGATGAAATAGACTTCACAAGGGCCAGCAAGAATGGGAGTACTGTCAGACTAGTAAAACAACGGAATGTCAGGTGGGATTTTCCATTGTTCAGGGTTTAACAATTAAAATCCAAGTGTAAGATAAAAAGGGAAACCACAAGATATCTCACATTCTGAATACATAAACAAGTGAGAACCAGCCGTGAGTGGATAATTTAACTCCTTCCCCTCACTTACTTCCTCTTTGTCCCATGCCTATCATCCTGCCGCCCTCATCCTAGGGGAGTCAGCCGCCCATCATCTGCTTGCTTTCTTAACTTAATCTAGATGAAGAGCGACATTATTATGTGTCCACATCAAATAAGAACAGGTATAAACCACTAAGCAAGAAGGGAAAAATATCTGGATTTTTCTTTTGTGTTAGATTTAATTGTCATTCCTCGCTAACCACCTTTCACAGTGCCTGTTTTAGAGGAGACAGAGAAGGCCTGGAGATGAAAGACTAGAGGACTGGAGTAACTATCTGCAAAAACATAAATTGCCTGACTGTGAAAGTAACTGGATGGGAGACTCCAGTCAACAGGGACTCCAGCAGTGGAGAGCCGTGGATATACTGGAGGAAGAAAAAAAAGGAAGAGGAGGAGGAGGAAAGAAAAATAAAAAAACAACAGAAAATAATCCAGAGCTAATGCAGATAGATAGATAGATAGATAGATAGATAGATAGATAGATAAATAGATAGACAGATAGATATAATTATCCCCAAAAAATGTTTTATACATATTCCAAATCAGAAATCCAGTATTTTATCTGTTACCACAGAAGGAAAATGAATTAGTGTGAAGCCAAGTAGCATAGAAAAAAAAGATGAAAATATTTCATTTATGAGTGCATTTTCATTATCCTTGCCACTGTTTGGAATTGTTGATTTTTTTTACATTTTAACAAAAATAGGTAGCATATTGTTGTTACTTTTGATGGATTAAATTATTTTCCTCCAAAATTCAAATACTGAACTCCTAATTCCTAGTACTCTAGAATGTGACCTATGGCCTTTCTTTTCATTCCATTAACTGTGTTTTCAACAGACACAGCAGAAGATTTTAATTTGATTCATACATGGACATCCTGTGGCAGTGTATCAATGTCAGTATCAAGAGCACCTTCATTTTCTTCTTGATTATCTTTCTAGGAGCCATGGA